GCACACTGTCAGTAATTCACTGTTTTCACCGAAACTGCACATCCCTAATTAGCGCTCGTTATTATTGGCAGCATTATTCAATACATTATGAATCAATGAATACTATGTGTCTATCAACAGATATTTCGAATAAACTATTTTGTATTCTAGCACGTTATTCAATTTCATTTCAATTTTAACTATGATCTTCCCTTTTTTTGTCAACATTTTTTGAATAAAATAATCGTTTCTACAAAACAGGATAACTCTTATCCAAAAATAAAATTTTCGATGGAGCAGTTATAATGGATGTCATGCGTGGCTCTCGTGCAGTGACTCATAAGAATTCATGTGTTTTTTGCCTAAATCAACTGGAAAATGAATTTTTTTTGAAACAATAATCAGAAGGGCTGATGAATATTTTTGAACTGTATATAATTTGATTTTTTTTTGCAGAAAAACTGTACAGCAATAAAATAAATGTTAAATTTATTCTTTGTTGCCATTGGAAGACTGCATGTATTCACTATAGACTATGCTGATAATCAAGAAAGTTAGATGACAATAGAAAATTACACTCAGATAAAAGAATGAAAACGGAGAGCGAAAAAAATACTACTGTTATTATGATGTAAATAGATGTATGAACATAATGACGTAATAATTTTTACGTGAGTATCTGTCTATTTATGGAAGTGCTAGTTGATTGATGACTTTTCTCTCATTGATTTTGGTTTTGTTCATTAGAATGGTTCTTCGCATGAAAGTGAATTTTGTAACAATATAATTTCTGTGTATTTGAATAGAGTTACACATAAGAAGAAAAAACGTTGGAAAATTCCTCCTGCTATATAAGAAACTAATTGTATCGATCGATGCTTTGATTATATTATGATTTAAGCTCATGGAAAACTTTATCTACCGTAAATTCGTCTATAAATGGGTGTAGATTTCATTAGGTTTGGTGCGTCCCTAGTATAGGATATGAGAGGCTTGGCTATAGCAATCGGTATGGGTAGGCAGGTGTTGCTGCGAATGTGCACGTGGGTGTGTGTACTAACAAGTTCTGTCTATAAAGACATAACAATAACCACTCACACTTAGTGGCTCTTTCCTCTCCCCACACTAAAAGGATATCACTGATATGTGAAACTACCTGATTCTTTAGCAATGGCACCATATGATTTCTGGCTACTCACCTTAATCAAACAAAGTCTGGCTGATAAAAACAACTCTAGAACGTGGTATCGTTTTGTAACCAAGCTATTTCCAACTCGTTGAGTGACGATGACTATAATAAGACTTTTAATAAAATCATTGAGCGGGTGAAATTGTGTAAAAATAATCAAGGTTATTACTTCGAACAATTAATCCATTTGACCTCTGAATAAATCTTCAAAACCTACGTGATTTTCGTCTACCCTAAGTACGTAAGCGACGTTGTTTGTGAGTTGAAAGAGTTCTTCCGTTTCTGGTTCTTCAATGATCTTTCGCATTCAATTATCTCCTTATAATTTAAGAAAAATTAATCTTCTGAAATTTTTCTAGGTTTTAACGGTAGATAGAGATTCATTAAAAATCAGCCACCCGATAGCGAACCATATTGAATTGAATTTCGAAGAACAAAGTTGTGTCAAAGTATCACTTATTATACTAACAGAACGTTGAGGACTAATATAGTCCGCAATACCCATGCACTGTCTTTTAAAGAAATAAATTCGTTTAAACGTTCTAAGAAAATAGTGAATGTAAAAAGAAAAGCAAAATTTGTCAATGAATGATTATTCTGATAATAATCACTTTACAAGAAAAAAGTATCATCAAATCTTGATTAGAATGTTTTTTCTTAATAAGTTCTGTTAAGGAGGAGGATAAATTGTGAAGTCAGGTGTTTCGAGAATACTAGGTTTCTTTCTGTCATGCGGTTCGTTAGCAAAAGTATTCGCCTTCTCGCGCGATTGGACCCAGGCTTTGGCAATAGCACGTTTCGTATCATCGTCGCCATTTTCGTACATTTCCTCTACCATATTCATGAAAGATTCATTTGAATCTTTTGACCCATCAGGTTTTGGAAGTGGTCTATATTGAAAAAGAAAATAATTTTATTAGACATAAGGAAGCTTGAAGCATGAAAATGGCTTCACTTACTTGATAGGTGTTTTCTTCTCGTCCTTTAGCAAGCATTCCCAATTTTTCGATTCGACTTTTCGTAAAGACACAATGATCATATCCTTTTTGACCTAGAGACGCGAGATATTCACAAGAAAATTAGAAGACAACTTCATATCACAAACGAACTTTGAAGGTTGATTGGTCCGGTTCAATATCATGCAGAAGACCGAGTATCTTCAAGAAATAATTGATATTTTTCAGATTTTGAATTTGAAGATGAAAACCACTACGATGGTGCAACTTGAAGTAATAAAAAAACCCGAAAAAAAAGATCTGATCATCAATTCTTACCGTTTTTCGAACGAGCACTGAACCTGGTTTTCGGGTAAGCTGCCGATTCCATCCAGATTTTGAACGTAGATCTTGACGAATTTATCGGTTTGATCCCATGCTGCAACCAATAGAAGAATATAGACACAAATCGTGGTGGTACTGTTGTCCTACCATAGACTGATATATCCTTCATATATGATTGAGTAGCGGTTGGTAAGGTACTAGCACAGGCTGCTCTTTCTGCTGCCTCAGCAGCAGCCTGTTGTTGTTTCTGCAGCTTCTCTTGAAGTTGACTTAATTCCTTTTCAAACTTGCGCTGTTGAAGCTCTAAATTTTGCTTTATGCGAGGACGAGTGGTATAGTCAATAACGCGTTTGATTTCGTCGATGTCATTGTTGACCTATGATAGATGAAATGTTCATGGATCACTTTCAATTGTTGTTTGGGTATAACATCTACGAATATCTTTTGTCAAGAAATTCGAACGATCCTCTTCGATTCTCAGAATAAGTCGTCGTGTTTTCACAGAACTTCTTTCACATAGACAGATTAACTACAACTTGTCTCGTACCTCTTGTATTTGTTCTTCGAGTGTCATTCTTGTCTATTGATCGATGAAGCTAGAAGACACAAAATCTAAAATTCAGTATATTGAGTGTGAGTGAGGGTGTTGATATGTGTTTGCTTGTATCTGTACTCATATCCGCACCATCCTATGTGAAAAAAATTAGACCCATAATCTAATCAAAATCGATTAAAACAAGAAATGATCGAAAAAAAGCCATCATTTAATCAACTTTAATTTGATGGCAGGTCCAACTTTTTTCGCATGAGATATCTCCATCCCACCCTCACACACAACCCATGGCTATATTTGTGATGCTATCTTAAATAAATAGTCCAACTTGAAAAGTGACCAAAAACAGTCGATGTAACTGTAGCTGACACATATGGCTTGAGTGCACTGACAATCATTAGAAGGCGCCATCTTAATTGAAATCAATCATTTTTCTAGGAGATTAAAAATATTCATAAAGTAAGACGTACAGATAAATCATAAAGAGCCGCAGTTAAACAGTGGTTTTTGAACGGTTGTCACGGCATAGGTAACCCATCAACACAGTCGACGACTGACATACATTGTCGTGTCGATCAACTTGTGTATAGTCGACCATGATTGTTAATGCCATATCTTTATTGAATATTCCTAATGTTCGCAGTGTCCCGCAATACCAAGTTTATACCATTCGAAGTAGGTTCTTTGTCTTTTTGAACCTTCCTAATATTGAACTCACCACAGTTACATTAATGCAACCGACACGTTTTGCCACTGATATGAAGTTTTTTCAGTCGTACGCGCTTTGCTTTTTTCTTCAAATGACTCGATTCATACTCTTGCAGCATGACCACGTTTTTTTTCTTCCGTTCTGTGTCTTTTGCGTCGTTCTTTTTTTTTCTATACTCTCTTCAAATATACATTCTATCGAGAAGGACTGCGCATAGCAACAGTAGAACATTAGGAAGACGAATGGAAAAAGAATGATCAGAAAGGAGCAAAAAACAAACACACATATGCAAGCAAATTCATTTGAATATGATTTTCAATGATCCAGCTTCTTTCGAAGAGTGACAACCGCAACTCTCTATCTTGTTCCTATCAAAAATTTATTCGCAAGAAAACAGTGCTGAGTAACTTATGAACCACTCTGTACAATATTCTACCTATCTATCTCTTAGACAGTTTCGAAATCGATTAATATACTCATTATTTCTCTTGATAATATTAGCAACTATTCTTCGACGATCTATTTTAACTCTTTTAGAAAATACTTCGTACGATGCACTACTTATCTTTTTTT